AAATATCTCGAAAACGAAGGTCGAGCGGCGGTGACATGTATAAAGAAGAAATCTTCATAACAGAGACCTTGAGAACATATTTCAAGGTCATCGAAATTGGCGAGGAATCGCTAAAGTAAATAATTATCCAATATTATTATCCAGAATAATTCCCACCATTCGTCACCGTTGCATCGAGATTAACGTCGAAAGCTGAGCGAAACGTTGCTGAAACAAGCTTCGTTCGGGTCAAAGCTTTGCGACGAGTTAGCAAAGGGCGCAGTATCGCTCCGTGCAGCACCGTGGAATACGATTTGCCAGGAGTCAGAGGCGATAAACATCTCAGGGAAGTAAATCAACGAATTATATCGCTTTGTCGAAAAAAAGGGGATGTTTAATTTAACAGTAAACGCGCCCCGTGACGAAGCCCCGTCGAGATAGACCGGCGCAATGGGACGTTTAATCTCCATCGGGAGCAGCAAAGTCTTCGAGAACTGTTTTCATTTCAAACTTTCGGATGCTGAATGCCAGACACTTGCCAGATTTTACTTCCGAGTAAATTTCGCGTTAATACAAGATACCTGGTGATTACAGTGAGCGCGGAATACCCTCGAAGCTGCGAAGAACTTTCAGTAGCACCACGGATGAAGATATAACAATTTTTTGCGTCAAATATTTCTGTGGATCGAGAGATATAAGTTACAGAAAACTGTCAGTGAAAATTCTGATAAAGCTATCGGTAATTTAAAAATTAAAAGGTTCGATGTCTCTTTCGGTTAATCTAGCAAACTTTTTAATACGTATTGTTAAGAGTTTGAGGTGCTAGAGATCGTTCCAATTTTTTAAAATGTATCTTGCTGTATGTTTGATAAAGCGTAACGAAATTGTCATTGTCTTTTTAACTATCGTTAAATTATTTCTCAACGTGATCTGGAATTGCGTTAAAGCTGCCATCCGAATTGATTTCCTGAATATTACATCGCCCAATCGGACACAATAATGCAACGGATTAGCGAAACTACGGTGCGGCTGTTTCGCGGCCAGTTTACCGTGTATTAAGTCACTTAATTAATATCCAATGTTCCCGGAAATGCGCAACACACGCGGCGTGCTCGTATCGTGGTTACGAGGTGTCCCTTCGCGCAGATTGAAGAGGAGCCATAAACAGAATCCAAAGGAGCCTTGAACGTTTCATCCAGCGAGCTTCGTTGAATGCGTCTCCACGTACCTTACAATTCTCCCCATCAGACTCGAGGTGATAGGTTACATCAGTTGGTAATTAACGTGCTCGGTGCTCGACATAAAAGCGACGCTCGACACGGGGACCTTGACACAACGAAGAAGGGAGAATCGAGTTACGCGTGCATGTTGCTAATTCGTTTATGTAAGTGATTTGCAAATCAACGTAACTCGACGACGACGCGTGCGAGAAATTCGATAACGTTCGACTGCTCGGCGTTATCGACCAACAGGCGGCGCACAATCGGCCAAAATACGCGAATTAATCGGTGTTATTAACGTTAATACAAGACACTGATTCTCTGTCTCCAAAAATTATTTCATTCAAACTGCACGAACTCTAACAGTAACTTTAACATTCATTGCCTGCCTCGTTTAATAATTATTGCGAATTGTTAAAGGGAGTACAAGCTTTCCAAACATCGAATTTAATTTATTCTTCCGATGTTACTCACGAACTTTGTACAAACACGAATCAAATAAAATAACAAGACAAATATCTCCATCATTAAATTACTTTTACTTAGTTATTCAAACGAAGGTTTGTGTTTCGAAAGCATCGTTATCTTCCGAGCACTGTCTCTCTGTGTCTCGGAACCGAACATTTTAAAGCGTCGACTTCTCCTATCGTCTCGGCGAAAGTTTCAGCTTACAGAATGAAAAGTTGGCTTCGCGTAAATTTCAAATAATACTTCGTCGTGAAAATACGCGGGCGATTCTTCGCGAAGCAAGGTGTTTCCGCGTTCCCTCGCGCAGGTTATCGAATATGGAACTGTCGACGAAGCACGAAGTTCCCAGCGGCGCAAGTGGTTCGAGTCAGCCAATACGGCGCCGTTGTAGCCACGCCAGTGAAACAAGTCAACTTAATGTCCGACCACGAAGGAGACTCGTCCGCTCCCAGAAGTTGCGCTTTGTCACTGTCACTCGTGCATCAGATATTTAGAAGTTGTTAACGACCGACTATCCACCAAAATTTGATCGTTTCCTCCGGCGTCGTGGCAGCTCTTCGACGATGCAGTCATGCATAACGTAGCGACGCGGGTAAACAAAGGGGGGAGAAAAATGGGGAGACCGAAGAAGCTTGACAAACAAAGAACAGAACGACCAGACTTCCGCGCTGAATTCTTTTGCGTATTAAATAGGATTTCTCTCTTTTTCATAGGATGACAGAGGTATCTCTGGCCTTTGTCGGGACGCAAAGGCCAGAATGTTTTACAATTATTCTGGTTCAACGATTTTTCTGGAATGTCATTCCGCGAGCTCAGCTAGACTTCGAAAAGTGTAAATAATTGGAGATACAACACGCGCAGAATACAGTTTCTCGGACTTCTACTTCGAACTTTTGGCCATACACATAGATTGCAATTTTATTTTGTAAGAAGTGTACGTGTTTGGACCGTGGGAGTGAGGTGTTTAGGTTTAAGTTGAAATACGTTCGGGGGACTGCGACTCAAACTTGTGTTTTGTTTAGATCATTATGAAGATAGGAATAAGGAAGGTTCGACTTTTTACGTTTACGTTTTACGTCTTTCTTTTATGTTCTTTATGTTAAATAGTTAGTAAATATTAAGTAGTATAGTTTACATAGTTACGTTTATTGTCCACGTATTTCAATCCGACCATACGCATCTGACCATCTTCGACAATCCTTACAATTTATATAAATTTAAGTTCCACTTGCTGTTGAATAGAGCAAACATCGTTTTCCTTGAAGTATTTCTTTTCGATCGTGTTGAAATAACGGGTAAGCCCGCGCTCGCGATTCCGTGCCTCGAACGCAGCAATAACGACGATTCCGGTAACGATTATTCCCCATTAATTAACAGATGAAATCAGGCGAACGACGCGCAATATCCGCTCGGCCGCGAAAGTAATCCGCGAGGAGGCGGAGACGGCGTCGTTATAAACTTTTACGCGGTCGTAAACCGAGAAATGAAGTGACACGGGAGAAGTTGGTCAGAAAGAACGAGGGGGTTGCAACAGGAAGCCAGTGGATATTGCAAATTTGCGGGTCACGCGGAAAAAGCATTCGCGGGCACGCTTCGGGCCGCGAGGGATGAAATATTGAGCCGTCCCAGAAAATATCGCGCGTTTTAGTCACTTTGCTTCCTGGTTATTTTCACCCTATTCACCCGATTGAAGCGCAGTCGATGTAAATGTATACTCTAACGCGTCAAATTGAAATATTCGGTGAATAAAAGTAATTTTCCATTCATTGCACGGCCATTTAAAATTAAGATTAGCAGGGATGGTCGTCGTGAAAATTTGGTGGATAGTTAACGTGGTCATTGACGGGAACCACGGTGCTTGGATAGTTATTTTATAAGCGATAGTCCGGGGTTGGCCACCGCGCAGTAAAGAGTTAATAAAGGTTAGAAATGGCTGGTTTATAGGCGACCGTTATTCAGTCGTTAACGATTCCTTGGTGTTCGGAACGCGCTCAGCTTTTCGCCATTTTTCCAACTCTCCCCGGGTTTTTATTTTATTTCCGCTGGTGCGAGACGACTGCTGCGGTATTAAATGCCTCGTAATTACAGCTGCGAACGTACCGCCGACCGGTCCATTTTGCGCGTTCCCTGATAAAAGGGACTCGTTATAAGAAAATCGAAGCTTTTCTGGAATATCGTCGGTCGGCGCTGATAAAGACAACGGGCGCGAAAGAGGGCAAGAAAATTAAAATAACAAAGGAAACAATTAAACGGGATCCGTCGTAACGGTGTATCGGAGGCAGGGAAACAATTTCACGAAACAGATAAAACCAGGATACGAGAAACCAGGAGAGATTGATTCCGCTCGAGAGATGATCGAAATTTATCTTCGCGTTTTAATCGGCCTAGGAACCATATCAAATTTTATACGATATTCCGATTTTCCTTTAATGAATTAATTGGTGTAAATCCAATTATACATTCTCCAGAATAAACCTGTTTTCTGATATAATTCACAGTCTTATGAGACACAAACAATGGTGGGGATGACCCGCGCCATGTGGCCATACTGTAAATTCGTTATATTAAATTGCTTCTCGAGGCTATATTATCATTTACAGGCACGTTATATCTATTCTTCCGACTGATATCTGAACTTGAATCCCGTTTCAAAAGTAAGAACGACTGTATCTTACTAACACTTTGCGATCGACGCAAATCCAACAGAAATTGTCAACTTGCCGATAACTTTTTCTACGAATTTGACAGTTTATTTAGAGATTACTAGTACCAAGGTTACGACATCCCGAGTTACATTATCGAGCAATTTATGTCACTTTTTACAAACCAGAAGAACGTTAAATTCAAATGATGTTATTTATCGTCTCTAAAAACTGATCGTAAAACGATATTCCAAGCGTAAATGAAAATATCGTACATAAATGGAGTTAACTATTTATGAACGTATAGAAATACATTTTTGGAACAATTTTTTATATTGTTATTGTACTGTAATAGGTCCTACTTTGGCAGCGTTATTTTTCATATCGCAAAGAATTTAGATTGTACATCGAATAAAAATTTTATTTAAACCTTCCCACGGGCTTTCGTTCGTCAGGAGGTGAGTGTAAAAAATTCACCAATAATTTAAATTTAAAATACAATACAAACGAACGTTACGTTTACAGAGTTTAAAAATGAATCTAAAATTTGTATTCGTTATTCTCGCATGAAATTTATCCAACTCTGGTCTCTGACCTCCCGACCCTGCATTGATAATCGCCGGCACTATGTACGATTAGGTAAAAACTAATCGCCTGGCAAAGCCAAATCAGTCCGTTTCTATATTTGAAGGCGAGAAGATGTACCCAATGGACCATGACTTTTGTGTTTAAACCGAGTAATTGGCCGGGGCGATGAAATGAGTGACATAACGGGCAGAGAAATTGTGAGATTTACCATTCAAACGGACCGTACAAGGAGATTCTGTTTCTCTTCTTAAAAAAACGGAAATAGAAACGGTGGGCACTTTTTTAAAACTGGTTTAGAAACGTATCGTCCGTAATAGAAATTTAAAAACTAGTATTCTTTGTAACAGGAAAAAATGTTTTTGTTCTACTTGATCGTTATCGTTACGAACGTGCTGCGTTTCATACTTCGCCCACTGTTCAATTATATTCATAGTAATGAACCGTTGAGAGTACCACCGATCGCGCATCCTCTGTTAAAAGTCACCGCGACCACGTTAGCCAGAAGGATCAGACAGGGACAAGTGAGTGCATATGTTTTATTAATCGTTTAACCGTGCAAGTCATGCTATTACGATCCCTCCTGTTTTACTATCAAACACAGAATTATCTAATAAAGAAAAAGAATCTTTCGCAGTTTCGTAATTCTTAATTCGCGCATAAATACAGTAGCGCAGGTTTACTTCGTTAGACAATTTTCGCAATGAAATAAATTTACAACGTTTCGTTTGTGGGATAGCTTTCTAGCCAGACCGTGGTGGAAGTATACATTCAGCGTATTAAGGAGGTAAATCCTATCCTGAATGCAGTGGTAGAGGAACGATTCGAAGCGGCTATAAACGACGCGAAAATTTGCGACGAAAATCTGAAAACTGGGAACGTTATCCCTGCTATTCTGGAAAGAGAGAAACCGCTGTATGGAGTACCAGTCTCCATCAAGGAATCCTGTGCCCTCGAAGGTAATAAGCTTCCTATAAAGACTGTGACAAACCAGGTCAAGCTTGACCCTTTGGGAATTAATTTTTACTCTACGAGGAAACTTTAGGTCAGAATGTTGTATACAGGGTGTTCGGCCAATGGACGAAAATCAAAAAGTTATTAAAAAATTAAATTAAAAAATTTCAAATCGTTCTGGAGAAATTATTTTCGATTGCGGGGCTCAATTACAATCATTTTTGGTGAATACACATACCTCCGAAATCCTACCCACTTTCTAGAAAAAAATTCGAGAATGTGCTGACATTTTTCGACGGAAAAAACAAATTTCAAATTATTCTGGAAAAATTATTTTCGGTTGCGGGGGTCAATCACAATCATTTTTGGTGAATAGACAAACCCCCGAAATCCTGCGCATTTTCGAGAAAAAAGTTCAGTATGGGCAGAACTTTAAACGTTAATAACTTTTTAACGAAGCCTCCATCAACAAATTGGTATTCTTGATTTTCGTTTTATTTTGGCCTCCAAAATCCTCCATTAAAATTTTTCCCAGGGGTGGCCGAACACCCTGTATAGTAATATTAATAATCAATTTCGTTCCCTTTTGGATTACGATTACAAGCGATAGAACAATAATAGAACCTTCTATTTGGAGAAACTAGAAGCCCCCCTTTTCTCTTCTGTCTATCTTCTTCGGTTTCGAGAAAGCAGCTTGTAATTCTTTATTTGGTCCACGTGGTTCGTTCGAAATCAGGATTGAGTTACACGAGCGGCAGCTTGGCGAGAAAAGGAGTGAAAGCTTCGAAAGACGGATCAGCGGTGGAATTACTGAAGAACGCTGGAGCTATTCCTCTGTGCGTCACCAATACGCCCGAACAGTGCTCGGGATATCATTCCGCGAATTTCCTTCATGGCACGACAAGAAATCCATACGACACGAGGAAATCGGCGGGGGGATCCTCGGGTGGGGAGGTAATAACCAAAGTCGTGAAAAAGTACAGCAATTCTCGCTTTCAGGTCCGGACTTTTACCGCTGGTTCACTGTTGATGTTTATTATCACGAGCAATCCACAAATTTTTATGCGATCAGCGATTTATCTTCGCTCGATTCCGTTTATGTGATCCGAAAGCGTGAACTAGCACGATTTTTATTAATGAAAAAATCAATGTCCAGATTCGAAGCAAATGTTGCTTATTGCAGGGTGCGTTGATCGGCGCTGGGGCATCGATACTTGGGCTTGGTTCGGATCTGTTGGGGTCGATTAGGGTACCCAGCCTCTTCAATGGTATTTTTGGTCACAAACCTACACCAGGTACCCCGAACAGCTTATAAATTTCTCTCAGCACACGCCTCGTAGAATTAAAAGCAAATCAATTTTGTACAAAGCATACATTCGTTAGACATTTATATTTCATAATCACTACCAATCATATATGTTTCAAATCGCGTTTATTCCAATGCAAGGTAATGTTTTAATCACCCGAATTAATGAATCACTGAATTAAATATTATGTTACTAACCAATCCCATCATATGTTGAGCGAAGGAATATTATTTTCCTTAAATATAATTGGACCTATATTCTCTAACAGTATAACTTGTCGGTTTAAAAAAATTCGCTAATAAATATTTAGTTTACGAACGAGCCTGATATTCGTCCGTATCTGCTCCGCAGGAATTATTCCTAATCGCGGGCATATTCCGGATTTCAAAAACACATCGTTGGAATATATGTTCGCCTACGGTCCCATGGCGAGATACACGGAAGATCTTTACTTGGCTATGAGAGTGCTGAGTTCCGAGTGCGAGACACCGTTGCGTTTAAAAGAGCACGTTGACTTGAAAACTCTACGAGTGTTTTACGCGAACAATATCGATAGCTACTGTTGCTTCGGTTCGACTACGCCGGACATAAAACAAGCGATTAAAAAGGCCACGTGTTATCTGTCGCAGAATGGTGCACAAGTAGAACAGGTATTAACGTTTAAATAAACAAGTATATTTTGTAGAATCTTGATTCTAAAGAGATTCGTGTGTATAATAGAATTTTATACCTGGAAGAATGGTCGAATTATTTCCATATGTTTCCTGCACTGCCATTGGAAAAATAGTGCGCTTATATTTTCTTTATTTCTCGGGCAATAAAGTGCAGAACTTTACGATATTGCATACTCAGTGGTGGGTTTCTATTGCAGTTGTCGCAGGAATGGATACGCGATTCGATCCTCTACGTGCTATTCACTTTTCTGGCAGACGACGTGCCTCAAGTGCTTCTGGATCCTAAACAGCCCGACGTAACGCTAGCATTATAATATTTTTATCATAGCGGACTACGCGAATAACTTTAATCGTTTGGACGAATATCCTGACGTCAATTTATAAACTTAATAATTACTTTTCCTTTGAGAGAAAATCAAATTTAGTTTAATAGTATATTAGGCCGCGCATGAAATATAAATAATAAAATTCCCCGCAGAAAAAGACGAGGGCGAGCCTCGAAAATTTGAAGGCGATGTTTGGTTTATCGAACTTCACGCTGCAGCCTATCAGTTTCCAACTGCTGGTGGACAATCGTGGATTTTGTACACCCGCGGAAAAAGATAATATAAAATTGTTGACGGACAACATGCGTCAGAAAATCAACGTACGTGTGCAATTTTGATCTAACGTACAGGATATTTGTTTGGAGAACTTTCATGGCCCACTAATGTGCTTACAGAAACTGTTAGGCAACGACGGAGTGTTTATATTTCCCACGTATCCCCAAGCGACAGCGGTACCGGAATTAATTTTCCTTCAATCCTTTTTTAATAAATATTGCACGTTCTGTAACGCGTTGCAATTACCATCGACCCATGTTCCAATGGGATTGAACAACGACGGTTTACCAATTGGGTTTCAGGTAATTAATCTTCGAAAAAGTATTTTTTCCGTTATCCATTGAGTTATCGGTTGATACCGGGTCTCCAATTATGCTCGAGATTAAAAAATCACTACGTAATCGCGAGTAATTTGGAACTATCTCATATCCACAAATTAACGTTAAGCTTCTTTGAAGATGCTGGCACACGTGTACGCCTATTTTCAAAATTATCTTTTAAATTAAGTTTTCTAATAATATAACATGATTATACGAAAATTAATACAAATTTTTGTTCATTTCTGGCAAAATAACTCGTCTCTGAAGAGATTTGATTATGACACTTGATACTTTCACGAATGCTTTTCTGCTATCTAAATTATTTCGATCGTTTCATTTGCCATATTTGTTCTAGTATTCTACAGGGTGACAAAATTGTGGGGAATTGTGTTTCAGGTGATAGCGGCGTCTTATCAGGACCGACTTTGCTTAGCAGTGGCTAGGGAATTGGAAAAGGCCTTCGGGGGTTGGATACCTCCCACCAGTTGAATATTAGTCTCATCGATAAGGAATCTTCGTGTTCTATCTAGACCAAAAATCATTACTTGTATTATATCGTTGTTGTTAGTAACTAAACCTATCTGTATATTTAGACTTCGCGTGGATAAGTCATCTAAAATACAGCATGTGGGTGGACAAAAACATTGGAACGTGACGATTAATGATTTGTTTTATATATTTTTCTTTATTTATTCGACGTCTTTATTGCTCAAAAGAAAAGATACAGAAATTTTAAAAGAACGATAATATTTGATAGAAACAGTAAAAAGCGAAGTTCAACGATAAGACAGCTCTTTCGGTTTGTATTATCTTAAAGGTTACGGAATAATATCTGAGAATATTTGGAATATCTCAGTTTCTTTCGATGAAACGTTCTGCGTGTTTGTGTTATTAATTTTTAAAGAAACAAGGAAATGATTCGCATTTTCTACGCTTGACAAGCAAGTGTCCGGTGACCTATGGTCGGCAGTTTATACTCGAAAGTGAGCCCCGGCAATAGTGAAAGAAGTGGTAGAGGAAACCTCAACGAAGCGAAACGACGAGGCAAAATGAAATATCGTTTTGTACATGCTACTAAAAGTGCTACATAGTAGCTATTCCACGGTAATAAGTACGAAACAAAATAAAGCTATTATCATTTGCGCGGTCGTCTGTGAAATAAACTGAGAAATAACAGGTTTATCGTGTATATATATTACCACATCGCTGAAAAATAATCGCGTGGATTAATCAAAACATTCATTAATCCTTTTATAATAATAAATTTTGTTACAGTTTTTAATTAAAATTTCATTACTTCTAAAGTCAGATAAGTTTTTCTTTGTATAGACTATAGTATAGTTATTCTATTACATAGTTATAAAGATTATACGAAACTATGTTAAATTAACTTTACTTTCACGTTTTATCAACCATTTTAACCGTTTAATGGTGTATTCAATTTATTTCTCCTTCAATTAAACCGAAAGTAAAGTGAAATGGACTTCATAAAATTGTCATTCTGTTTTAATAGAAAGTTTTGTTTCGTAATTTGAAATGAATTTATAATTTTATCTTCAGAATGGCCAGAATCTATAAATGAAAAGCAAAACCAATATTTTGTTTTATATGTAATTTTTATCAAGTGATTATACCAGCCTCCTATTCTGCTTTGCAAATAGTCTAACGTCCAGATATTGCGTAATATTCATATATGTAAATCACCGTTGCACATAAATATGGAACACGCAATCGTTTGCCGATAGTATATTAGCTAAATGAGAAAAATGATTCGTTACAAGAAGTGGTATATACGAGTCTATTCCTAATGAAAACACCAATTAACATAACTGGTTGATGTTCTCAAGACACCGGATACATTAAATAGTTACAAATGTTACCGCATTGATAAAATAGCTTCAAACTATTAAGTATATACAGGGTGTTCGGCCACCTCTAGCAAAAATTTTAATGAGCGATAGTAGAGGCCAAAATAAGACGAAAATCAAGAATACTAATTTGTTGATGGAGGCTTCGTTGCAAAGTTATTAACATTTAAAGTTCCGCCTGTAGAATGACAATCCGCTGAACAGCTGGTTCGCGCGGACGGTTGCGGCAGGCGAGTGCTAGTGGTTCTCACGCAGCATGAAAAATTCTGATTACCGACATTATCGACAGCCTTAGATTTTTGTCCACTTATGGGAATGCGAACACCTTACGTTGAATAAGATTCAACCTGTCTTATGAAAATCCAGAAGGGCATATCAAAACTAGTCCGACGAGATTTTCACAGAGAAAGGGTGAATGCCAGTTCCAATACACAATGTTGTGAACAAAAATCACCCACATGCGATTATACACGCCCCACGATTGTCCACAGTGTCCACAAGTATCCACAAATAATCCTTTCAGGCACTAACCACTATGCAATTAAATAAACACGTACCGCGATTATGTTATTCGTGAATGTCTACGTGTACGTGTATCACGATTCTTCCGAGTTACTTACGAATAAAACTGTTATTAATTTTTCAAATACACTTCAATTTAAAAATGTAAAAAGGAATCGCAGGATAAATGAAATTTTCGCATCGATTTACGTTCACGGCGAAGAATGTAACAATACTAGCAGCTGACTGTGCCATCGATCGACGAGGTTCAGAGAAACATATGCCGAACAGGCCCCGATTCTACGTCACTCGCCTCGCTTATCTCTCTCACACACAGCGGAGACAAAGGGCAGCATCGGCACGTGTTCGGCCAGCTAGTCAGTCGTAAAACAGTATCAGTCAAGCTAGTTCACGCGACACATTTCAGTTATGTATTAAGTAGCATGTAAGAAATACAGTGATATAAACAATCAGCGAATACTTATTAAATTCCTGTTTACATTTTTAAATTGAAGTGTATTTGAAAAATTAATAACCGTTTTATTCGTAAGTAACTCGGAAGAATCGTGATACACGTACACGTAGACATTCACGAATAACATAATCGCGGTACGTGTTTATTTAATTGCATAGTGGTTAGTGCCTGAAAGGATTATTTGTGGATACTTGTGGACACTGTGGACAATCGTGGGGCGTGTATAATCGCATGTGGGTGATTTTTGTTCACAACATTGTGTATTGGAACTGGCATTCACCCTTTCTCTGTGAAAATCTCGTCGGACGAGTTTTGATATGCCCTTCTGGATTTTCATAAGACAGGTTGAATCTTATTCAACGTAAGGTGTTCGCATTCCCATAAGTGGACAAAAATCTAAGGCTGTCGATAATGTCGGTAATCAGAATTTTTCATGCTGCGTGAGAACCACTAGCACTCGCCTGCCGCAACCGTCCGCGCGAACCAGCTATTCAGCGGATTGTCATTCTACAGGCGGAACTTTAAATGTTAATAACTTTGCAACGAAGCCTCCATCAACTGATTAGTATACTTGATTTTCGTCTTATTTTGGCCTCTACTATCGCTCATTAAAATTTTTGCAAGAGGTGGCCGAACACCCTGTATATAGATATAGATATATAGATATTAGTACAAATTTTGTTATAAAAATAAATTATTAAGAGATGTTCTTTTTCTATTGATATTAATTAATACCACGTGGTTATTACTTCACACATTCGAGTAACACAAAATTCCTAGAAATTCGATCGTGTTACATCTCTGTTCAAGCAATCCGGTCTGTTAAATACGTCATCTTTATTATTTATTTTGTTATTCCTTTCTTATTTGATATTCTACACTTGACATAATTTTCTTTTTTACTGCCTCCAAGGCTAGGTTTATAACATATAATTGTATTGGACACATTTCAGTGGCAGTTGTCACTATATCTATAGAAATAGACATGACTGGTGATATTTAAAGTTCGTCTTTAGTTTTGCAGATCATTAATAACAACGCAAGGTTTCATATAATCGATAGTATTTTCATCGCGTGGCATCAATATGTCTGTTACGTCGTCGTGACAGATATATCTAAATCTCAGGATAGGTCACAAAATTCGCATTTTGGCGGATTGTTGAATCTCGAAGCATTCGAACTAACTCGTACGAATAAAATTCTTGCGTTCTTGCATAAATACATTCGTAAAGACGTAACGAAGCGTATACGAAATTGAACTATCATTCCCAAAAAAAAATTTAATCATCGAACCGCTGAGCATACTTTGGCACGCTCTGACCTCTCGACACTGCATCTGGAATCGTTGATACTTGTAACGGATACGTAAAATACTGGTCGACTGGCGAATCACAGCCAGTGTACACTCGCGTGCGAGACGGAGGAGTTGCGTCAGTCGGTTCGCATTTTTCTTTTTAATAAGATTCACCGAGCATAGAGGAGAGACGAGACACGCGAACGTAGACGAATAGTTGGATTTACGGCTCGATCGTATCGACTTGTCGTCGAGTGTAGCAAGTTTACGACTTGTCGCGGTCTGAGAAACACGGATGGTGTGCGCTGTGTTCATCTAGCTTGAAGACGCGTGGATCGGAAGCGAACTTTCGAGGCTCGGTACACTAGATAGCAGGCAAAATGATTGTCGCCAACATGATAGTCGTCTCTATGCACCTATTGCACTTTGTTCTCCGCCCTCTGGTCTATCTTGTTCGCATCAGGAGACGGCCGAGCATACCATCGATCAGGAATCCTCTGTTAAGAGTCAGCGCGACCACGTTAGCCAGGAGGATCAGAAACGGAGAAGTAGGTTCAGGTTAAATTATTCTGCCGTTAGAAAACAGATCAAAAGTTCCAGGCGTCAGCTATTTAGAAACATTATAAAATCACTTAAACCGTAACCGTATTATATTTTATGTAACTGCTTTGAATTGTTAAAGCTTACTAGTCAGACCGTAGTGGAAGCATATATAGGGCGTATTAAGGAAGTGAATCCTTTCTTAAATGCCGTGGTGGAGGAACGATTCGAGGCGGCTGTAAACGACGCGAAAATTTGCGACGAAAATCTGAAGTCTGGAAACGTTGCTGCCGCTACTCTGGAAATTGAGAAACCGCTTTACGGAGTGCCAATAACTGTCAAGGAATCCTGTTCCCTCGAAGGTGAAACGCATCCATTAAAGATACATTAAGCCCGTTGGACTCTGCGATAAACGCATTTCATTTCGTGTCTCGAACAATGGAACTTCAGTGGTGGACAGTGGTGGATACATAATAACAAATGGAGTTTCGTGTAATCGTTATAGCCATTTTCTGTTTCGATAATTAACTCGAGATTTAGGAACACGATTAAGAAGTTTACGTATTTATATATTTAATAGTTAAATATTTGTATTCGAGTTTGAGATGTGATTCTACGTGTTAAAATTGTTGAATTTGGATTTGACTTAAAAATTTTGTAAAATTAGGATTGAGTTTGACGGGTGGCACCAAGGCGCGAAGAGGAATGAAAGCTGCGGAAGATGGGGCAGTGGTAGAAATGCTAAAGAGCGCGGGAGCTATTCCTCTATGCGTTACCAACACGCCCGAATTGTGTACGGGGCTTCATTCTACGAATTTCCTTCATGGCTCGTCGAGAAATCCATACGATACGAGGAAATCGCCAGGAGGATCTTCGGGCGGAGAGGTAATAACTGTACCTGCGTACAATAGTACAATACGTACAATAATCCTCGCTTCTATGCCTAATCCTCATCCCGGACTTAAGAGCAGCAATTATCCCAATTTCCTACCTATCAGAGATTCCTCTCGGTCACGGCTGGATTCGGGCAAAATTTATTCACGAATAGCAAATTAAATTTTTAAATGTTTTTTAATTTTCCTAAAATGTTATTCAGCAAATTCTCGTTGTAGGGTGCGTTGATTGGCGCAGGAGCGTCGATACTCGGGGTCGGTTCGGACATATTGGGATCCATAAGACTGCCAAGTCTCTTCAATGGTATTTTTGGTCACAAACCTACACCAGGTACACGTGTTCTCTGTTAACCAAGGTTTAGGTTCTCGAACAGCTAGACGAATAAAATGGATTCGGCGTTTGATTCACAGGCGTTATTCCTAATCATGGACATTTCATAGACCCCATAAATACGTCGTTGGAATATTTGTTTTCGTTCGGTCCGATGGCGAGGTACGCGGAAGACCTTCATTTGGCTATGAAAGTGTTGTCCGCCAAGTGTGGGAGACCCTTAAACTTGGACGAGCCGGTGGACTTGAAAAATCTTCGAGTGTTTTACGTGAAGAACATCAAAAGTTTCTGTGGCATTAGATCAACCACGTCGGATATAAGACGATCGATCAAAGAAGCGATACAATACATGGCTGTGAAAGGTGCAAGCATTCACCGGGTAATAATTTTACAGAAGCTTCAGCGAATCGTAGAAAAAAAAACCGTAACGATACAAAAGCTGGTTTGTTTTGCAGTTATCGCAAGAATGGGTAGAGAATTCGCTCATGTACGTGCTATCTAATTTCCAAGACGGTAATATACCAGACATACTGGTGGACTGTCACCACCCTGACGTAAGGTTCACGCTATAATTTCGTTATTTTGTAGTGGCGCAGATGAAACAAATTCTAGAAACGAGTCACGAGTAATTTGTTTCTCGAAATGAAATCAAATTCATTTATAATCGATATCATTTTGTACAGAGAAGGAAGAAACGAGTGGCCGAGTGCTCGAAAGCATTCTTTGGCCTTTCGAACTTCACGCTTCACGCCAGCATTTTCGCATTATTGGCGGAGTATCGTGGATTCCTGCCCCGTTCGAAAGCGAAACATTACGAGGAAGTGAAGGAGAACATGCGTCAAAGAATCAACGTACTGAATATTACATTTCATCCAATAGACACTCGTGACCCGTTTACTGATCCTTCCTGATTCGTTGATGTTTTTGCAGAAGTTGCTCGGCGACGACGGAATATTTATATGCCCCACGTATCCTCACACGTCGCTTCGGCCAGAATTAGCTACTTTCGAAATAGATGCGGTTAATTATTGCACGATTTCCAATGTGTTGAAGTTACCGTCGACCCATGTTCCAATGGGACTGAACAAGGACGGAATGCCTATTGGATTTCAGGTAATTATTAACTGAAGAAATATTGGCAGTTTGTAATTTACTAGACATATACCAGGTGAGAAATTTGGAAAAAATTGTGCTTCAGGTGATGGCTGGATACAATCAGGACCGTCTCTGCTTAGCAGTGGCCAGGGAGTTGGAAAAGGCCTTTGGTGGGTGGGTGCCTCCTGCCAGCTGATTATCTATTTCCTGGGCTCTAATTCTTCGGTTAGATCTTTACCAATACAGTACATGTATTATATCGACTGTTGATCATCATGGTTATTCTATTGAAAACTGCTGTCTTTTTAAAGTAAGGTAACCTTTCACGTACCTTTAAAAACTGATAACTATTATCATTCTTTGAACGTATCTTAAAACAGTAATTTAAAACAATTGGGTAATTGCAAAATGCTTGATAGATTTCTAAAGTAGATGCTGCATTCTTTATTATAACGAGGCTATGTATTAGAAATTGCGTGTTAGATTGTTAAATTCGTTTTATGTTGCGGCGTATTATATTGTACGAATTTCAAAGAAATTCGATCGTTGTAGTTATAGTAGGAAGTATACGAACCACATACTTCATCTGAAATTACTATAGACGGATACCTCGCAAAATTTTAACGAGGTAAACTCAAAAGTTCCTGCAAGATCTGTCCGACGAAAGTCGAGGAGGGTCTAACGAGAAATTTATTAGGAACAAAACCACAAATATTAACTGTCGCAACGCCTATATTTTTACTAATAAAGATATAGCGAAATCTTATCCACGTATTGTTGCGGATTTTAATATTGTTTGTATTCGTTAACGATTAAGTTGTATCGCGTTGTGTACGAATAAATGGAAATAGGCAGTTGTTAATTGTTCTGGCAACGAACGGTGTTGTTCGAGAGCTCTTGAAACTTTGAAATAGTTGGAACGTGTCGTTATTTTCTGTAGGTAAGTAGGTATTAATTAGTTTTATTGTGTCGTGTAGTCGAGGAGTACAGTTCTGGTAATAATTCTGAAAATATAGTATTGAAGTAACCCGTGGATAAAACGATAACGACCATGTAGATTTAACAACGTGCAAAATTTGAAGCAAATTCATGGCGACTAAAGGAGAGAGGAGTTGATCGTTTTTGAATAGGGCCCTTTGGCATTTTATCAAAAACTGTTTTCAACGTTGCGCGATAGTGTCTCGTTAAAATGTTTAAACTCGCCGTTCGAAATGTTTTCGATGATGGAAAAATTGTTTCTAAAATCCATAAAACGCGACTGTATTCACACCATTATTGTTTATACGTATTGCGAATCATTTCTGAACAACTTTCAATCACGTACAATCAACCAGTCACCTGTGGAATTTTATTTGCTCGTTTATTGGCTCAAAGACCAACCACAATTCAACCAGTGCTATTTTTGAATAAATATCAGAGAGAATTAAATTTTACGTAAAGGGATTACATTTCATTATCTTCTTCCACGAAGTAGAAATTAATTTAAATATCTATTGGCTTTGATTCGAATAGGATTAAAGGGACAATAGGTGAATAGATTTGTGTATCGCCGGGAATCCATGTAGATGAGATTTACAATCTTCCCAAGTGAAATTCGTCTGAATTGCGGTATGTCAGTCGGCAGAAATACATAGACGTGACAATTACTTAGACCGGCGCTGTCCAAAGTTGACTCCCAGGGGGCAAACCCTTCTCCACCATCGTTCATCGTTACCATGGAACACAGACACGATTGTATGTAAAGTAAAACCGCGTACCCGGGTCAAACGGAGTACCTCTGTTTCTCCGTAATGAGTGTTGCAATCTGTAACCAGCACGAAATACTAGTTCTATGCCTCCATCGAAGTGGTTAACACTCGTCTAACAAAATATTCTTCAAAGAAATCTGCAGTATTAGAACTTATGCCCCTTCTAATTTCACGCGATTGATTTTAGACGTAAAACGTTATCGTTTACGCGATGCATGTCTCGTGAATAATATTTTGAAACGATACAAAAATGGGAATTGTTCGCCGAGACCATCCCAGCGCGACCTCGTATCGAACTCCGGCCGATTTTTCGTAACCATTGCACAATTTTAAACCGCGAAGACATCGCAAAGACGTTCAACGTTGCAATAATGGTGTATAAACAGGAGCAGGGTTTTCTGTATAAGCACAGAACCGCGGAGGAAGTGGAAATATTTACAGACCGGTTCGGTACCGAAAGTTTGGAATCTATCTACCTGAAGGCAGTGCCCGACAATATTTACACACCTGCAATCAATTTACTGATTTCCTCGCGAATTACACCGAACCCTCCAGCCAAACATTTGCCAATACACAATTTCTCGATGCGATTAATCGATGATTGCCGGCAATTTTAAACTTACTTTTGAAATTCATGTAACGTGATCTATAAAATTGGGCCCAAGAATTTAAAGAGATGCTACCGCAGACCAGAGATGGACAAAATTCTGTTTTAATAGTAGACGATAAATAACGACCATAAATTTGTATTCATTCGATATTTTATACATTAGGATCAATACATAATTTACATTACTGGAGCAGCAAAATTACTAATTAGAACCGAACAGTTTTTAGAGTCGAATCCTGAATATTTTACTTCCGTTTCGTGGATCATCCGAGGTACTGATATTTAAATGTTGCACGTTGGTGCCCCACGCACGATGCTCATTAACAATGCCTCTTTAAGCCACCACCAAGGGAGATTTTACAGTGTAAACGTAACTCCGGCTCAGTATAATATCTTCGTTCATATTTTTGCTCTTAATACGGCCACGTAGCTTAAACGAAGAGAAGGAGACATTGCTCACAACCCCCCGTGCCGCTAATAAAGGTTAATGAAAACAGTAATAAGGATCCCGGTGTTATTTTTCATTAACGCGACTCCCCGCAGCGCTATCGCGAGCTATCTCGAAGCTTCTTATAGGTTTGCAATTCGCGTATTCCCCACGCACTCTCGAGCAATCTTTCGAGCAAATAAAAATTACGCGTCTCGCTATCATTTAGAAATCGAATCGGTATCGTCGTTGATATCTTGGAATTACGAAAGGCCCGTTTATCGTTGCACTCGTCGATTCTGAAGATCGTTTCCAACCCTCCTGCATAAATAGTTATTAGCAAAAGCGGGGAAATTGTTTTCTGACGTCCCGCGCGAGCGAACGATCCGTACCAAGAAAGAGAAACGTGAACTGAAGTGTGGATCTTAACGCAATTGTTTCGCTTTAACGCAGTTGATAACGCTTTTGCCCGCGTCTCTCGCGACACGGCCGTTTTCCGGGTTGCTCGGGCGGAAATAAATGCACGCCGTAATTGAAATGTAAATTTCGCCGGAATAATTGTATCGACCGTGAAAGAGAGGACGCGGGGTAGGGGGAACGCGTTCTCTGTCAAACGTTGACTCGATTGAGAATAATGGTATGTTTTCGCTTAATAGATAAAGAGACGAACATTCGAAAATGCACTCCTCAGCGGATGAATAATGTAATTTTCATCGACAGTCGGTCGCTTTCGTTCAAATTGAAAATTCGCGTCCCGGCTAAAAGCTCTCCAATTTCCTACCAAACGAGCGCCGTATTTTTTCCCCTCCCCCCGCCTCTCCGTCGTTCGCCGATTGTTTTATATCGGCGCAAATGAGCAACAATACAGGTTTCGGTTTCGACGCCGTGATCGAATCGTTGATTCGACGGAATTTTGAAAATCGTCCGTCGTTCGAAAGAGACGTTTCGTAACATTTTCGTCGCCGGGGCGAAAATGTTTTTCCAAATTGAACGCGATCGTGTATGCACGTACGGGACGAATTTACCGCTGGAATGTAAAATTTGAAAAGTGTCGAGCTCCCTGCTGTCACCGCGGGAACAGCGGCGCGACGTTTCCTTTGTCGTTCAACATTCAATTTTGATACGCTCCATGTTTTCGGTGAACGCCTCAATTTCTTGCGAACGCAAAACTCAGAAAACTCTTCGATCGGTGCAACCGATTGAATCGTAAGAGAAAATAATTTTATTATCGCTTTCATAAAGTAAATTTCAGTACAACATTCGTTAGTTTCGCTATGAAATAAGAAAATTGTATTGTCCGGAAGTTTGGTTACTATTTGTCATCGTTGGCCAAACTATCGAATGGCCTTTGCCGGTACAGTTTCTGCCGGATTTGCTATACACGATTCGCCAGAAGCGACTTACAAACTCGCTGCTCCGTCGATCGTGAGTAATTACACGACAAAGGCGAGAATTACATAGTCGAACGCGCGGGGTCGCCGTTTTTACGGAATCGTTTGTTCGGTCGATCGCTTCGAGGGTCAAGGGCCAGCGAATGATAAACGATCCCGCGCTTTCACAGGAATGTCCAGCGAGCTCATCACTGTACGGGAAATGCGAGAGAAAAGTGCGATTTCTCCCGAGAGATTTTCTGGTTCCGTGCGTCTCTTTGAGAGGACTTGGATCGGATCGATGCACGAACTCAGCGATTCGTCGTACTCGTACTCGTACTCAGGCCAGCGTACGTTATTATTTCGCATCTTCGATTTGTCAGTGCTGCAATAAATATATCAATACTTTCACGTCCTCATGGTTCACAAAAATTTCAAAAATGACACCATGTTGGTGTTAAGGGGCCATTCTACCTTGTAGGCACGAAAAATACACGTTTCTCTGTGATTTTTTTTTTACGGGCTATTAAAGAGCGATTAATTCTGGGTTTTGTGGATACATTTATTATATATTTAGCTATATTTACGAATTTTTGCAACGTATGATATCTATTGATTACGCTGTTTTTGTTGATCAACGAACAACAGTTTTTACGATGTCATATCTTGCGAACAAGTTATAGATGAGTGTGGTTATAGCATGAACCAGGATCTTTTAAAAAAAAACAAAAAATGGCAAAATGGTAGCTATTTTATGAAAAAATACTGAATATTTTCATTTATTCATGCTATAGAGAGACCAGTTCTAAAAATACCGGATAAATTTCTTGTTGATATCTTGAATAGTTATTTCGTTATCACATACGCAGTGCTGAAAAATGTATTTTCGAAAAAAACAGCTTTAAAGATTCACGTCCAGTTGTTATACCTGCACGCGGTACATTTCACCAGGCTATAACTTCGTTAGTTTTCAGAATTTCAATTTAATATTTGGTAGATATATTTTCGAGATTACATACTAAAAGAAAACGCAAAAAAAAAATTCGATTTTTTATATCCCGCAAAGTAGAAAAGACCCTTAAGGAAACCTGCAACATACTCGAAATATTTTCGACGGATTCATCGAACCGAAAGCAAAATAATATTGCCATAGAAATAATGCAACGAAATCCTTGAATATTTTCAGCGCGTTAAATTATTTCCGCGAGCCGTTGTCATTCAAATTTAATATCGCGAGAATAAAAATATTACAGCACGGTAAGATAAAAATTACCGGTAGGTTTCGCGTGCAGCGGCGCTGGTTTCTCGACGAATAAAGGCAGAGAGCTTAACCGGCCCGGAATACAAGTCGGAGAAGTAATCTCGCGCAATCGAACCCTTGTTCGACTTCGTGGCTTAACTCGAAATCGGTATCAACCAATCCCAGGTGTTCAATTGGCAACGCGCCAGTATTTAAGCATGGCTTAAATTTCGTGCAACGGCCGCGGAACTGGGGCAGATTCAGATTAGAATTAACTGATTGTTGCGTAGAGCGTTGTAATTAGCCGCGCGTTCCCGACGTACCGACGCTTAATTAAAATCGTACCGTGATGAATTGACCGTGATGGTTCGCTTTCAAGACACGGCACTTCGTATCGACCTACTTGTACGGGAGAGTGCTTTACGGAAACGCGGAGGCCCTCGTACCATTCGAATCGTATGTACTGCACGGAGCCATAAAGATTGCCCCTGAGCGATGTTCACGATGTGAGAGAAATACGACTTTCCGTCCATAAAATGCCTCTCCATTATAGCTGCGCCATTAATTGTCAGCTTGTGCTGTACGAGATCTTCGAAGTGTCCCCTGTCAAAAATTCTCAACGAGCTCTGCAAGCTCGTCGGTATGCCTCCGACACAAAATTTTGGAGCTTCGACCGTTTCTCAAAGTCCCAGAAACGTAACTAAAGTTACCACGCGATTTGTATTAAGAATTATTCAACAGGTACACAGCTTTAAAATGGTAAAACGAACCAGATAACACTCACCGATCACGTTCAGATGCACGATGTGGCTCATGTGCGGCGTCGTGGAGACCTGGCACTCGTAGTATCCGCTGTCTCGAAGCTGCGGATACCTGATTTGAAGCATCCAGTCGTCCGTCTGCGCGATGTGGATCGCCCTGAATCGCTGGTCGTTCGTGTAGGTGTAACTACCGAGGGTGAGCAGGTGGATGTCTCTGTGTCGCACCCAGGATACTTGCAGCGACATCTGAGAACGGGGGGAACGCCGGTTAATCGAATAATTAATGCCAGATATTAATCGCGCGATCGTTCGTGACGAGCAGGAAAATGGGACGCGATAACGCGGAAAGATTTAAACGGTGTTCGCGAGACTCGCGGGCCAGTTCTTTGTTCCTCGTTAAGGGTTTCCCATTAAGCGGGACCGCGTAATTGGAAGTAGCTCGTTTCTGTGTTGTGCTGGCAATTAGCGAAACTACGGGGTCGACATTTAGCGGGGAATTCGCGATCCCCTCGACCGTCGTTTCGAGTTTCGCGCCATTCTCGGTCTCCGTTTTCCTTCATTTTTTTCTTACTGCCCCGAGCACATTTTTTTGGTTGTTGGAAGAGACTGAAAGATTTTGAAACGACGCTCGTAATTATTCGATATGAGGTTTATCGACACCAGTGTCTTTTACTGTCTTATAGAGTCACTAATTTTCTATTTGTGACAAGAAACACCTTCGCACTTGTCATAGCCATATTCTATATTTCTCACGGGTGCTCAAGCGACCTATTCGTATGCAGGGTGTTCTAAAGAAGATTCTAAAGACAAAAATAAGACGAAAATCTAGGATACTAATATGTTGATCGAGGCTTCGTTAAGAAGTTATAGAAACATATCCGGCGACACAGTATAGTTTCGGTAAAGAATTTTTTTCTCGAAAGTGCGTAGGAATTCGGGGGTATGTCTGATGACCAAAAATGATTGTATTTGACCCCTGCAACCGAAAATAATTTTTCCGTGAAGAATTTGAAATTTTTTAATTTAATTTTTTAATAACTTTTTAACGAAGCCTCAATCAACAAATTGATATTCTTGATTTTCGTCTTATTTTGGACTCTAGAATCTCCCATTAAAATTTTTCCCAGGGGTGGCCGAACACCCTGTATATACAAACCTCGATCGACCACTGGTGGGCCCTGCAAGCGTCCACAGAGTTTTACAAACACAAAGAGATAGAACAATATTGTGAGAATTACAAGAAACGTAACATACGTTCACACAATTTGCACTGTATTGGACCTAATTTTCCAGGTTCGTCGGAATAGGTTGAACAAACCGGGTGTGACGGTTTTGAGAAAAGTCTGAAGGCAGAGGTTAATAAATGTTGCCTGGTTATGCTAACGTCGACGCGTGATATCGAGGCGACATCCGGCGCGTCTGCCGTCGCTCGTAATCCTCCATTAAAAATTAATTGAAACGCGTTCCATAATGCACGAGATTTGAATTTTCATTGGGGGGTTCGCGGGGTCGCGAGATTCAAGGGTTGCACAGAAGTTCCTCGTTCGCCGTCGCGTCGTTTCCGGCGTAGTGGAAAATTAATAGAGCCCGCTTTGCATATCGTCGTAAAGTTAGCGCGCGAGATAAAACGCCTCGGGACGCGATAATTGGACATCCCGAGCCAGCGACGTGTAAATATTTGCTCCCTTTGTAACGGCTGACACGCGTATCTCGTGGAAAGTGTCTCGACGCGAGGCGCCGATGCTCGACACTTGCGGCGAGCCGACTGTCAGCGTCCTGGGTATCCTCGAAAACGCACGGTTAAAATTAGAAGGAAGAGGCGAGCAATCCTCTTTGCGCCTTTCTACTCCTGCCTGATCCTCGCCTGACGCTGGAAAAGGAATATTTTCGACGGGGGGATAAGCGTAACGGCGAGTTTAAACATCTGCAAGATTAGTCTCGGGAGGAAGGATAACGTCCGCTCGGGGGGACCGCCATTTTCTCGATGCAAGAAGCGGACTCGGAGGACCGTCTAACGAGATTAGTTCTATCGTGTAATTTTTATTCATCTCCTCGTTCGTCGGAATAAATAACGCGGTATCGAGTTATCGCGAGAGAATCACGGTGGAATTCGAATTTGATAAATTCTTTCCTTTTTAACGCACTTGACACCGACGATCGTAAATCAAAACGATCGCCCGCGAATAGGAAGAATACACTTCGTATATTTATAACGATTTGATTACCGCCGTGTGAAAAATATAGAGATAGGAACGAACGTTAATGCAACGTACGCTCTTTACGATCACGGCTCCGCGTTCGTTCGATCCTCCGTTTAATTACATTCCGCGTTGCCCGGCGGATCAGTTCTCGATAAAAGATATGAATCGATATGAAGGCGTTGAAATAAAAATGCTCGAAAGTTTTATTCTTCCCGAATCTCATTAACGACCAGAAGGCTTTAACGGTGGACGATTTCAGTGAAAATCGAACGGTAGGTTAATACATAATCTAGACTCCGATATAAATTTATTCGAAAATTGATTGTTCCAGCGAAGAACCCATTTTTCCTTGCGTCGCGTTTCCTCGCGGAGCCGCTTCTCGCGAAATGTCTCTCAGAGTCGTCGGACCGAGTACGCGATTTTCCTCATTCGAAAAATAACAGCCCTCATCCCCCTTTTCTCCCCATCACTTTCGTCTGAAATTCCAGATATCGAGTTCGGGACGTTTGCCTTCGACGTCGTCGGGAATAGCCGAGAGCTAGGGAAGGCCACGTTTACGCGTATCTTCTCGCCCTGTCGACGTGGCAGAAATCGTTTCCCCCGGATTCGGATCGCTTCTCGCGATCTTTATCGCGTTTCCTTCGAAATTTTCGGGCGGAACGTTCGCCCGACGCGAACAGGCGAGTTGTCATCGGCGAAATTCGAGTCGGGCCATTCCCCAGAAGATGTTCCTTGTTCGTCGGGCGGTCGCGCGATATCCGAGACGATAAGACCCATCGGGGAGGTGGGGCACGGTCGACAGATAAGGAAGTGGATGAGAAGCCACCCCTCAAAGGAGACGACCGGTGGAAGTAGTCGGGGACGACCAGGGCTGGACTCGCGTGGAAGTAAACGACGCGTTAAGGGGCGCGTTTTCGATCGTGGCGTCCCAAATCGATCGAGAAAGCTACGAAATAAATTTTGAGAACATGGAAATCTTTTTATCGTACAAGTATAACGAGATACCGTCCCGTTTATGCGACAATAATGATAACAAACGATGACACGCTAATAGCGTTTCAGAAAGATGTCACGAGTCGCGGACAATTTTCTCTCTCGTCTTTGTGACCTATTCCCTTATTTCGCGCAATTCGTTCCCGTTTCTGCATTCTCCGTGTCTAATATCGCGCGTCTCTTTCTCTCGAACCTCTGCTTTCGCTCCCTCTACTTTTGCCTTCCTTTCCGCAGTATTCCCTCTGCACCTGTTTTCATTTTTCACTCCTTTCCTCTCGCTCCATTTCTCTTCTTTTTTATATTATTTTCTTCCCCCTTTGTTTCTCTGATATCGTAGTCACGGCCGAGCCCCGCCGCCTTCTGTCTCTGGCAAAGCGTATCAAGAAAAACGGTTCCGACGCAAAAGAAATCCAACTTCAACAACCGTGGCAGTGCTTTCAGTATGCGCCATCGGAGGACTTCCATCGTCCCAAAGAAATACCCGGTTTCCCGCAACTTCTATCCCTTCGATTATCGATCCCCTTGTACGCGTTACTGGGCATCCATCTATCGTGTCTTGATCTCCTGATCAGGGTTACTAAATTATTCTATCCATCTTCGCCGTGGCGGTGCACTCCTCGTTAGAGGCTCGATCGTTTTTGTTATCGTGTCAGAATAATAATCGATTCCGTCGTACGGATTGTTTGCTCGAGCGTTTAACGTCACTGCGTTTGAAACACCGGGCTTGCCAACTTCACCGATAAGTTCGCTAAGTCGGATCAAAATCAACTGGCTGCACGAGGCCATTCAGTGGCTATCCCCACTATATTGTTTGGCCACCCCCGCCACTGCACGTCTCTTTATGCAGATTTGCGGTTAAGACGTTCTCCGTCTTCCAAACGAATCACAAGTATCTTTTACCCTACGTCTGGAAGCTAATACAAACCAATAAACTTTCAATATTCGAAGAAAAATTACAATATTTTTGGCGCGAGACTTTCGTACCACCGGATCGTTGGAGTGTTATACTCGTCATACAACGTGTTCCCCGCCATCAAGTGCACGAACCCCGAGCGTCGTGTCCCTTCACACGTTCTAGCTGGTACACGCGTCACTGTGAACGCACACAGCGCGTATAATTTATGGTACGCGACCAACGTAAGCTCCTATAGTTGACCCACCATAGAGTTCCTGTGTCGTATACCGTCCCGGACCTGCTGGCAACATCACCGACACTCCACGGTTTGTGGTAGTCCTCATCGTCCGTTGCAGTTACCCTCCGCATACCAATATTGTTGTTCTATGCAAACGATTCACGCTCGGAAGCACACGGCCGACCCGGTCGACTTTTTTCCACCGCGAAAACTCCTCCCCGTTTTCGAACCTTTCGAGGTTTCCGTAAACGTAGGCGAACTTGGCCGCGATCGCGATCCCCCGCGCAAGAGACGTTTAGAAAATTCGTTCCGATCTTTGTACAGAGCGGAACGAGAACGCGGGACTTGTTCAATCTATTCGTTTGAATGGCACTGTTTCTGATTGCACGAACGGCCAAAGATTCCGCGAACCGACTCGATGACGTTTGAAACGGGAATTCAGTTTAGGAGGAAATTGGACAAATCGATTCTTGCTGAAAACTCTTCATGATTCCGCGTCACGGGTTTTATCGTGTCCTCTGTCGCCGCGACTGTGAATTTTAATAGAAAATATTTACCCCTCGAGGCGCGGTTTGAACGCGCTCGAAAGATAGTCCAGGTCCTGAATCATTGAATCGAACAAAAATTTCGCTGTATTCTTTTGACAGAACAATTTCCATCAGTGGTTTCGACGTAGAATATTCTTTGAGGGTGGTTCGCGCTTGTTTGCAAGCTTGAAAGATCAATAGTATGATATCGATGAATGTAAAGCGAGTGAAAACAGTACGCAAAACTATGTAGTAATCTGCACTAAAACCCTAACCGATTCTTTTAACGGAACTCGATAATAATTAATTAGAAAGCAGCGAAATCGGTGTTAATGAGGTTACCGTTCAACCACGGAAACCGCAATTTAATTATTGCGACAGAATTATCCCGA